GAGACCTCCCGAGCCCCTCAAAAAAGTCAATAAAAGGGGAAAAATTGTGTGTGTGTGTGTTGGCGTCTAATTTGTTTAATTTCTTTATTTTTTGTTCTGAGATATTAAACAATACCTTAGAATGGGTAAAGTTTAAAAAACGAAATGTGGCACTGTAGCTTGCATATAAAGAGGCATTAATACTATTAAATTTTGGTTCTTAATTAAAGGTCGACAGGGTGAAGACATAAAAGGGGTCATGTGTAATATGTCTTAATGAATATTTTACTTGTTATTAGCATTCAAAATTTAAAAAAATAAAATAAATCTCATCTCTACCTTCAAAGTAAGCTTTTTATGTCATTTTATAATAGTACAGTAAAACCCATCAAGATGTTCTCGCCTAAGATGTTAGAATGTGTATGGGGACACGATTTAGTTCAACCACTTTATGACGCTTAATAACTAACTCCTGTGTTAAACCATCTGACTCCAATTCTGACCACTTTGACCACAGAAATTATTAGGCTTCAAACAGGGTGAACAAAATCATGCCCCCCCACACAGTCTAACATCCACACATATAGAAAAAACCTCGAATCTTTTGCTTAATTAACTCGAAATTTCAAGGTTTCTGAGTCCAATAATGTAAAAATTTGGTAGGGTCATTTTTTGACCAAGCGCTACACTTTCTCTGTTATATATAACAGCCAGAAAAGTAAAAATTATCGAATACATATTTATATATTATTTTATGACTACAACCTTGCATAAAATATCTATTTTGATATTATTCAAAATAGAAAAGAAAAATCAATTTCATATATACATATTCCATAAACTTAATTTTACTACTAAATGATAATAATAATACAAAAAACAAGTTGTTAAAATTTTCAGTACTTAACAGATGCATCCACTGTTCCTAGTTCTTAGAGAATATTTCAGTAAAGCAACTATTACAAGTATTTCCATGGAAGGTAGTATCATTTTGCAACCAATAGTTTGAGATATGCTGTCTTAGCATTTAATTAAAGAAAAAACATGCACATGCATACAAATCCAGCATTTACTTATATTATCATCTTTAGAGTCAACTTATCTAAAAACAATTTTAATCTCTACAGTAGATCTTTGAAATAATAGCCATTAAAATGACTTGTAAGAGAAAAAAAAAATTGAAGTACATTGGGAAAACTATCATTGCACAACAAGTGAATGATATATAGAAATACTATCAGAATGAAGTATTCAGTTTTTATAATATTCAATATTCACCAATATTCAAGACATTAAAATGATTAGAAAGTTATATATATATATATACATACATACATACATACATATATACAGCAGACCCCTCTATAATGCGGGTTCATATAATGTGGATTCGTAAATTGCAGCGAAAAAATTGCGACCATATTCGTATAAAGATGCTAACAGAGACTCGTAAAATGCGGTAAAACATCACTGCTGACTTGTGTCGCGACAGGATTGGTCGAATCTGGACCAACAGTGGACAAGCAGCCGAACTACTTACACACTATGGAGAGTTTAGGCAGGTAAGTTGAGTTCTGTTTAGAAATTGATTTAACCCCTTTCGCAATGTTAGCAGATTTAATGTTGTCTTTATTTTTCACGATTGTCACTATCGTTGTTCTCGGAATATGGTATGCAACAATTAAAATCTCGAACACGCATGCCACCTTCATATTTCTCAACAATTTCTTTTATCACTTCCATTGTGATCCTAGTCATTTTATTAGTTTTCTGTTGCTTTTCATTTGCCTTTTTGCAATTCATGATTAATAAAAATAATAAAATTTTACTTACAAATTAAAATGAGAAGAAATTTAACAAAGTCATAAACTGTTGCACTGCAAACGTCTAGTCTGGTTTAGTACACCGATAGTGCTACTTGTTCATAGATGGCGCATATAATTGATTTAAGTCGTATACTGAGCAAAATTTGTTTAGTCCAAACAGGACATATTCCAAATTGGATGTATTCTAAAGCAGACGTATACTGAGGTACCACTGTATATGTTTTTTAATACTTTTCAGTCTATGAATAAGTCTCACTTGTCAAGCCAGTTTTCCTATAAAATATAAAGGTTAAGTCTCACTCATTCAGTTTAGTATGTTATTCTATGAAACTGGACAGTTTAGAATCATCTATAGTCAATGTAGGAAGTATGTTTAATGAAAAATTGTCATTTCTGTTGCTAAGTGATGTACATTACTTAATATATTGATGTTTTGTAAAATGACTGCATGTAGAAAGTATTAGTTGACGAAGCTTTACATTTAATAAATGATAAATTCTTAGCCAGAAATATACTTCTGATATTAAAACCAATGACAATACATCCTATTTAAGCTCCATCAATGTGAACACCATACTATGTAAACTCTGAGATTCAATTGCATCTGTTGCTTTGAATACTTTCACAAAAGAATAAATTGTGCTTTGAACAATCCTTAAAAGTTTGTGTCAGCCCAAAATACGTGCCAAATGAAATGTTTAAAGTTTCTTTTTTATCTCAGTTGGTGTATAATCTGATAATATCAGACTTTTAAAATTTAAAAAATTTTAAAAAAAGGACATTTCATTCTAATTTTAAAACATTTCCTTTTTAATTATTTTTCAGTTAATTCTTTCATGTTAACAAAAGTACAAAGAAAATATCATGACAGAATTATTATTAGTTTTTTTATGATTTTTTTTTAAATAATCAAATACCCCAATCTGCATGGACATTCACAAGAGCTTGCCCCCTTCAGTGTAGATGTTTCAATATTGTAAAGTATTAAGAACTATGTTTCAATTGCATTCATAGCTAATTATCCATCACATCTGACATTACTTTTCAACACTATTTTCCTATTTTTGAAAGAACTTTCTCATTTTTAAACAAGACAACTGTTATTTCATGAGAATATTTTCTGACATATTTAGTGCTTAAGATTGATGTTACACAGTAGGGGAGAGTTTTGTACCTACAGACATCACATACCTATGGACACCTCAATATTATTTTAATATGTTGTAGTAAAACAGTTACTTGTAGCGACATTTCTTGATGAATTTGATAACTAACATAAACTTAAAAAAAAGTCAGCCATTTTGATTTGTTCGTCGAGAGTGCAACACTCGTTATATTTTTCCTGCAAAAGTATTTTTTTAAATCTGATTTAATCATCTGTTTCATTTGATTTTTTGCAAGGTGAGTAATCAATATTTGATGTTTTAATGAAATATTACTTTGTACTTACGATATTTGAAAGATTTTTATAGATAAGCTCCGTTTTTTTATGACTCATAACCTTTTCAACATTTCAAGTCAGAATTACACAATACAAGTCAGAATTTGTACCTATGGACTGTCCTTAGGTACATGTCTTTCACATTTACTTTGATCATTATGCATAAATATTGTTTTCAAATGCCATGAAGTTAAACAAATATAAAAAGACCCAATCCCGAAGAAGAATCGGTCGTGGCTGCAGCAAATCTGGTTTTGAGTGGAAACTATTGGAAGACTAGATACAATGTAAAGTTTGTAAGTTATGGTGTCATGAAAATTGCACTGCATGTGAAAACTGTTACTCAAAATGTGACCCAAAAGTTATTAATAAACATTTTTATTAATATTTGCTTTGTTTCATTTCTATGTGTTTCTGTTCTTTATGTCCTTAGGGCTGTCCCTAGGTACAGGCAACTTTTGTACCTACGGACAAGTGACAATTTTTTTATTTTATCTATTATTTTATTAAATGGAAAAGGTATTGCATAAACCATTTTACTATATGAAAGGCATATAAAGTGGTTATGAAATACCTTTGAACAATTGAGATTAAAGAAGTATTTCCATATTTTATAGTCGTTAAAATTTTCATGTCCATAGGTACAAGACTCTTCCCTACATTATAAAAAATTAATCTATTAATAAACAGATTATATGGTTATTCCTAGTAAATAACTGAATCAATCCTTAACAAGAGGAATTTTTGTCTGGCAAATTAGAAGACACGCAACAAAACTTTTGGCGATTTCGTCAATCGTATCATTCCTTGATCCACAATTCTTTTTGGTTTTTTATTCACATAGGAATGCTTATTATATTAGCAGGGTGCCAACAGTTTCTGGCAGAGATAAAATCTTGCTGTTAATATTTATGAAAAATTTAATTCAGAAACACCAATTTCAAGAGATTTCTGCCTTATTTCAATTATTTATTTTTAAAAATTTTCAAAATTAACTTTAAACTTTTTATAGTAGTCAATTAACTAAGTCATTAAGCAATATCTGTATACATTAACTGGCAATTAACCATCAGCATAAAATATAATTTTATTACAAACATTCAGGTATCATCTTAAAATTCAAACCATATTCTTTATTACATAATAAAAATGAACATAAATTTATTTTAAAAAGTGAAAGTGATAATATATTCCATCACAAATGCTTTATCAAACAACCTATTTTTATCCTTGATAAAATCCATAAAAATTAAAAGAAATAAATGATTCAGTTCTTTTATTTTGATATTCATATCATATTTTATATAAATTCTGTTTTGTAACAATTTAAATTTCACATGAAAACATTGAATATCTGTAAAACTAAAAAAATTTTCCAAATATTCAATACTTCCATTTAAAATTTTGAAAATTTAAGTGAGAAATTTATTCAAAATTTTAACATTTATCATTAGATTTTATTTGGATCTCTGATCAATTTATCAACAGATTTCATATGGAATTAATTTTGACAATCCATTAAATATTTTTATATATTATTTTAAAGACAGAAAGATTAAAATCAATATAATCTTCCAGAATGGAATAATTAATTAATTTTTTTTTCCTGAATTTCATTACTTCCATTTTTCTTTAAATCTGAACTAAATCATCAATTGAATAGTAAACATTATTTCTAGATTTAATGTGTATATAAAATTAGTTAAACCTCTAAACAAAACAATTAATAAGTATAATAAGTGAAGTCCACTTACAAAATTAAATATAATTACTATCTTAGAAACTTAATTTTCATTTGAAATATATCTTCCTTATTAACTTTACATCACTGCTTTAGCCTTTACCAATTTCTAGCACCTTACGCCTCCTAGCGGAATGAGTTTCTTATATATATTATTATTAAAATATATTTGTCATAATTATTTATTTATAAATAATTATTTTTATTTTATGGTAATGTTGATTCATATAAAATAAAAAGAATTAATAATCTTAAAATATTTCAAATTAATGTTATTAATAATATTTGAAATAAACTCATTCCTCGTAGATGTGCTCGCACCGAAGAAATTGACAATGAAATAAAAGTTAATTTTATACTTAATTAGATATGATTTAAACTAATGATGAGCAAACATTTCTGGATGCGGATAACATGCATTGTTCCTTTCCTTAATTTTAAAATTTTAATTAAATTTTAAAATTAAGGAAATAGAAGAAATAATAAATAATATAGACACAAAAATACAATTTACAATCGAAGAAGAAAATAATGTTGATAACAGTATACGGTACCTAGATGTCGTAATTTCAAGGAAAGAAAATAAGCTAGAATTTGAGCCTTATAAGAAACCGTGTTCAATTGAAACCACAATAAGATACAACTCTAATATACCTATGTATATAAAAAAGAATGTTTTTCATATGGAGTATACAAAAATACAAAATAGAACCAGTAACGAAATTATTAAAAATAAACATATAAATAATTTAAAGAAAAAATTCAATATAAACGGATACCCAATCAGTTTAATTAATAAATGGCAAAAAAATAATAGATAATGCTACCAAAACGAAAGATAAAAAAAACCAGAATAATAGACTGTAAAACAAAACCAAAATATGTAGGTTTTCCATACATACAAAATATGTATGAGCAAATAAATACAGAAATGAAGAAAAATAATATGAAACTTGCTCCAAATTATGAAAATCTATTCTCAAGATTAAAGGCTAAACAGAGTATTAAAAAACAAAAAATAAATAAAGAAGAGACGAAAAATATAGTATATAAAATACCATGTACAGTACCTGTAAAAACAACAGTTTTTATATAGGCGAAACAAAACGAAAACTAAAAATAAGAGTAAAAGAACATATGTCAGATTTGAAGTACCACCGATTAAACTCAGTATTCCATGATCATTGTGTACTAAATGACTGCAATATAGATAAAACTAACATACAGATTCTACACAAAGAGAAGAAAACATATAACAGAAAATTTAAACAGATTGTCGAGATTATTAAAAATAAAAATAACAATTGTATAAATAAAAACTTAAGCATTAAAATTAGTGAAAACTGGATAAAAATATTGTAACTAAGTTAATGACGATTGGTTGTAATTAAGACGATAATCACCAAAGTTCAATGTTCATGGAAAAATAAATAATTGTAAAAATTAATAATATAAGTTAAGATTAATATAATAATTCCTGTTTATACACGACTTTCTATTGTATACTGAAATTGGTTCAAAAATCAGCTCACTTATATATGTAAATTAGTAGAACAAATAGTGTCATTGTGGAAACTGCGCACGAGTATTGTTTTACGAAATGCTACAACTGATAACGTGCGTATTTGATATCTATATAAACTATAGGTAAAACAAATATTAATAATTGGTTTGTACAATTTAATGTAATAGCTTTAAAGTTCTATGTTATACTGTAAATTAGCAGACCAAATAGTGTCGCTGAGATGATTTTATGTGAAACTCGTCGAAGGAAAGATGACAACAGTTATTGTATGAATTTTGGTGAAATATGCGAATATTGAATACAGGTAAAACAAATATTGTTAAAATATGTTGTAAATTTCAATTTATTTATTTAAATTATTTGTATAAACTAAAAGAACGCCGTATTCGAAAGCACTGTGGTCATGCTGTTATCTTCGAACCTGTTTATTGTCCATTTGATATATAGAATATGAAACTGTCCATCCTGTACGACATTTGTACGCTTGTGATTTGTGCGTTTGTGGTATGTTTTTTAAATGTTTTTAAAAATGTTATCTACGGGATGTTTAACTCGCGTATTTATGTATATTTTTTCTCATGTTTTATTTTTAATATTTAGTTGGCTGAAGAGGGGCTAATGCCCGAAACGCGACTTGTAAATAGCGTCCCAACTGAATAAAGTGTGAATAATCTGCCAAGTGTTGAATATTGTCACCTTAGTGTGTCTGTAAAGAAGTGTGAGATCCGACCTCAGAATAAGCCCAAAATTGTTCATTTTCTCCCTAAATTTTCGACGTATTTAAAATAAATTTGTCGCCTCCTCGTTAAAATAACATTGTCAGAAAAAAGAATCAAATATCGATCGCAACTTATAACTTTCATCGTTAATATAAACATTCAACCCTCGAACAATAACATTCCTCTTCTGCAAGATAAAAAGTTTATAGTTAAAGTCCGAATTCGTCATTTTGTTTTGGTCCCGGGAACAACTTTGACCTCCACACCTGCAGGACCAACTCTATCTCACACTATAGGAGATCACCTGACTGATTTTCCCAGTCCGAAGCTATAAAAGCGACTTCTTTCCCCCTCCTCGGGGGGGAGTCTCACATCTACGGTCTAGAAGGATTAATTAAGTCTCCGGGAAACTTTAACTGTGTGCATCGATCACCGGAAAAAAAGGAATAAATTTTTCCCACCTACGTGGAAGTAAACTAGAGATATGAACAAATTATTGTAAACTCTCTCTCCGCGAGTTAGGAGCTAATAGTGAGCTAAATTCATTTCCCCATGTTAGATTTTGTAACCTTTTTTTTTCATTAGTCTAATAAATTATTGTTCTCATTGTTAAATGGTGTCCTTTTACTCGTATATCGCCTACGCCTCGTCGACGACACCTCTCACCTCCTCCACTCGACCTGACAAAAAGTATCCCGACCCTTCGGGACCGCATTCGAAATTTAGCCATCTTGACAAGTGAGCAGGTTTAACGACCTGTCGCCGAAAAGGGAGAGTCGACGGTTCCCGACCTCCCCGGCGGTTCACAGAAGCAACATAAAACTAACAACACGGTTTCATCAGAATCAAAAAACTTTGTAAAAATTTATTTTACAAAAATTTGAGCACCTATTCCTAATAAAATAACTCCTAAACTTTCAAGTTTAAATTTATTTATAACAATTTTAAAAAATTAATTTTAATCATCCCTTGAATTATCTCACAAGCATAAGGTAACTAAAACGGCCTAAATCATATCTCGAAATGATTGTAGTATCACTACGCAACATTTACATTCATTTTGTTTTTAAAAAATCCCTTGCAAAGTTGATTACAGTATATGCACAATGCTACTCTATCAACGGAGTAGCGTGGGTGTCAGCCGCCCGGAGCGGAGGAAAATTTCGCTGTCTCGTTATTTAGGTATCTCAATCTAAAAGACTAAAATTCAGTTTCGTGACAGAATAAGTAATAAAAAATTCCGTAGCCACTTGTTTAAAATAGCTCCATTGGATATTGGAAGTGCATATGAATATGAGTGAATCGTACAAGCAAAAGAAAAAAAAAAGTCGACAGATTGCGCAGGATATCTCCGGGCGAAATTAATAGTTCACCCGGACGGTGAGTCAGTTTTCGAGCTGTTCGGATGGTAACACTATCATAGGTGCGACGAAAATATACAATAAGATGGTTCAAATTTTTACAACATATTGTTATTTATTGTGAAATTTTGCCGCCCCCACTACGCTACGCCACTGTACTCTATACATCTAGATTAAGATAGTTGACATAATAGCGCCTACTGCATTACCTTCGAAACCACGTACAGAAGACTTATTCTGATTATATTACATAGAAGTTGAGCTTAAGAACGAATGATAGATATGAGCTATTTAATTAAAGAAGCCAAGATAATTAAACGCATTTTCATGATTTTTCTCAGACGAACAAACTTTCTAAACTTGCCCTGTGTGGGGCATGGGTTTTTAAAATTCAAATTTTTCCCGGATTCCATAATTAACGGGAACTCTGTTATTAATTATTGGCAAAGAACTTACAATCTGAAAGAATAGAATATTGAGCACGCCGATGTACTGTATTTACGCGACAATATTCGCTGTTTAGTTTTGAGTTCGTTAGCGAAAATGACCAAAAGTAATACAAGAAATCATCGTTAATTCGGAATTCAAAGAACGAAATATTCGGGACTTCGAATTATCGATATTTCTGTGTTAATTTGCATAATTATATCTTTTTCCAAGATTATTTACATATTAACACTGCAAAAAAATGTACGCGTTTTTACATCTTATCGGTCATTTTAGAGGATTTGTTTTATCTTCGTATATTGTTGGTCTCTGGTGAAACAGAAAAAGGATTGAATTGGCCCCAAAAAATATTTTGTAGTGTCATTATAGTGTTAACATGATGTAATTTACTAAGCAAACGGAATGCGGTTACTTATACAGAAAGCTATTATTGTTAATTAATAAAAATAATAATATAAATAAATTTCAGGTAAACGGCACGTACCCAGTGAGAACCTTAAGGTCGCCAGATAGGTTTTTATAAAAAGTAAAGCAGAATTCCTCGAAATGGAGCCCAAATTATTAAAGTGGCTCAAAAAGTAATAAGTCGTTTAAATGTATCAATAGTAGCCTAGTCGTTAAAAATATATAATTGAGACGTTAAAATTAAAGAATTCCTGACACAGCGTCTTTTTTAAATTTTAACATTAGTTCCTATGAGTGCCCCTAGTTGGTGTTGACCGAGTGCAAACTAAAATTATAGAGCAAGAAAAAAGAGCCATATAAGAGGTTTATTGAATTTTATATAGGTCTTTATATAGGCCCGGTATTAGTATAACTGCTTAAGTTAACTCCTCCATTATTTTAATTTTTCTGCTTTTCCAAGCTTGGTGTAAGTGATTATTATTAATTTAAACTGTTAAAAATACATTATCTGATAATGCAAGGGACAAGGGTTGGACACAAAATAAATTAAAGCACAGACAAAGAGAACAAGGCCCGGATTCACAAACACCTCGCACCGTAAGTTAGAGCGAAATTCATCGTGTTACCAGATTCAAAAATCCAATAACGAGTTGCTTAACTTTCTCGGCAACCTTTAGTTGCACCATCTGTTATCACATTTTATGAAAACACTTTTTATATTTTTAACTATTATAAAATGGCAAAAAGCTTGAGGGTAGAAATGAGTTTTATAAAAAAAAAATTGTAAATGATATGAGATATGACACACGACCCCTTTACCCCTCGATCTTTAACCATCAAAATTTAATAGCATCAATTCTCCCTAATGCCTCCCTTCAAAATTTCATTTCAGAAATTTTCGACACAAGAGTTATTAAGCTTGAAAGAGGGTAAACAAAATCGTGCCCCACACACACACAAACATCCAAATACAGTGGGTGATCGGTTAACGAACATAATCCGTTCCAAGACTTTGTTCGCTATCCGAATTGTTCGTTAACCGATTATCGATTTACCATAGGTTTTAATGGGAATTTAATTAATTCGTTCCGGAGACCACCAAAAATAAAAAAATACAGTATATACTTTCTTACTATGTTTATTTATAATAATATCAATAAAAATATCCACAGCCGTGAGGCAGATAATAGTGAGGGCTTATCAGACCAAATGATGGGCACAAACGCTCAGAGATCAAAGTGAAAAAAATTTAATAAACACAAACGGTTACTACATAAATAGTAGTAACAGTCCGAACAGTCAGAAAACAGTCCGAAATGCATTTTGGGTTTTCATATTTATGTAGTAACCGTTTGTGTTTATTAAATTTTTTTCACTTTGATCTCTGAGCGTTTGTGCCCATCATTTGGTCTGATAAGCCCTCACTATTATCTGCCTCACGGCTGTGGATATTTTTATTGATATTATTATAAATAAACATAGTAAGAAAGTATATACTGTATTTTTTTATTTTTGGTGGTCTCCGGAACGAATTAATTAAATTCCCATTAAAACCTATGGTAAATCGATAATCGGTTAACGAACAATTCGGATAGCGAACAAAGTCTTGGAACGGATTATGTTCGTTAACCGATCACCCACTGTATTTGGATGTTTGTGTGTGTGTGGGGCACGATTTTGTTTACCCTCTTTCAAGCTTAATAACTCTTGTGTCGAAAATTTCTGAAATGAAATTTTGAAGGGAGGCATTAGGGAGAATTGATGCTATTAAATTTTGATGGTTAAAGATCGAGGGGTAAAGGGGTCGTGTGTCATATCTCATATCATTTACAATTTTTTTTTTATAAAACTCATTTCTACCCTCAAGCTTTTTGCCATTTTATAATNTTGTATGCATAGGTATGTTTTATATTTTTATGAATTTTACAAAGCTTGTGTATTTTTTATATGTATGTTATATCCTTTTTTAATGTTTTAGTTGACTGAAGAGGGGCTTAAAAGCCCGAAACGTGTAATTTTTTCACACGTATCAACTAAATAAAGATGAGAAAACCCGCCAAGTGTCTTAATTTATAGCACTTTATTGTGTTAGAAGCATAAATCCTCATTTATAATCGCACATGTCGTTCTTTATAGTTACTCACGAAAAAAAATCCCAAAATAAAATTGATTGACACGCGTAAAGCGTAGCACGCGCTACGTTTATCATTCCGTAAGCACGATTTTTATTGTTGCATAAACAAAAAATTTTAAGAATTGTTTTTCAACTATTGTTGAAGCGATTGAATTGTTGAAGTGATTTTTCGAAAGCGATTTTGTTAAAAAATGGAGTGTTTGAGTAAGTTAAATGGTTTTTAATGTATAATTATATTAAATCTTTTATAACGTGTTGGTAATGAACACAAATACGAATTTAATAGTAATTGTCGATGGGATATTTAAAAATCCGAATAAAAATGTTATACGATGGAACGATATTTAACTATTCATTCTCTGTCGAAGACAATTACAGCATTAAACGTATTTTCTGCGAATAAATAAAAATTTGTTATTTTATTTCCTCATCTTTTTTAATATTTAAATATTCGGTTCCATTAAGATGAATAAAAAGAAGCAAACAGAATTTACAAAAACAGTTTTACAATAAGATAAGATATTCAAAAATAAGATTGGAATCTGTTGTTACTTTAAAATAATCTTATGAAAAGTTGTCACAACTGTAATCTAAAGGCTAATGTATCAGCGTTTAATCTATACTGAGGACTTGATTAACGATTTGTTTACCGAGTAATGCTATATTTTATATTTACAAAATGTTCTGGTCTATTTCATTATCTATCGATATTATTGAATAAACAAATTGATTTTCAAGGCTAGATAAATGCAAACAATTCCCATTTATAAGAAAAAAGTTGTTAACGAAAGAACAACAAATGTGGCAATTATTTTTCATTGGTTAAAATTATCCATCGATTTCCCTTTATTTTTTATCGTTGTTTCTCGAGTATAAAGATATAAATGAATATTTGATTATTTACATTTTTAAAGTTAATCTGAAAATTGAATATTTTAAACTTATTTTACTAAAACTTTTTATTAAATTGTATCAATGAATGTAAAGTAAGCTTCTGAGTGTACGCTAATAAATATCCGTTTCTTTACTTCGACAGAGAAAAACCCTTCATTAATATTACATTTTCAGTTGAATTTATGATTGAAACAATTTACACTTTAATAATTTAATAATTCCAAATCACAATGCAATATTTATGCTTTTATATCACGTTTAATTTAAGAAATTTCTAAGCAAAAATTAATTAATTTTTTTT